GCTAATACAAATACTACAGTTTCATGAAAACAATGATTACCACTAAATGCTGTTACAACCATTAACTGATTGTCATTAAAACAAAATTTTCCAATCACAGATCCTAATTTTGGGTTTATGTTTATGAACCTGCTCTCCTCTACCTGGTCTATCTCCTAGGATAGACCCTCTGCACGTGAATTGCAACTCCTGAAGGATTAAACTGCAAGACCCTAGTAGTAGGAAATATGCCCTTTGACTCCTCAATGAAGTACTTATTTTCTAGATACTATGTCACTACATGAAACTGTCAGGCTGTGAACATATTAATGACTCTAACCTGCCATGTTTCAATTGCTTCAATTTTACCAGTTTTCCACTATCAATGCAAGATGGAATGAAGAAATCTATGATCAGGGCAATTTCTGCTTCATTATGAAATTTTAGGAGTTGTTAATAATGATGTTTAGCATACAATGTATTTTCTAGCCTTTTAAAATTTTCTTTCCCATAGACCAAAAGAAGAAAATTCTTCCCAGCTCTCCTAAAACATACAGAACCGAGTGTTGAATTAAATAGGCTAAATGTCTTCTTCTGATAAATGAATGCTCACTCACATAGAACTTGTAAATGCTACTTAATCATTTAAAATAGAAATAAAGATTCCTTTCTGGTATCTGATATCTTACTTTAGGCTAACACACTTTAATCTTGACTATAGTCCTGGCATTTGTTATCCACAATCACTTAAAAATAGAAGGATGAACAATTTAACTGTTTATGAACTGAACTATTTAATATATTCATACTTAGAATTGTACTTACAGTACTAGAGGTTAAAACTCTATTATAAGACCTTGTTTTAGAAAAAGAATAAATAAATTTCTTATTGTTATTTAAGACAAAGTAATGTTCAAAGTAAGAATTGTGGGTCTGTTTGACACCCAAGTTATGCAAGATAGGACAGAACTCTACCTCAATGTCCTTAATAAGTCCTTCTTAGACCCAAACAGAGAGAGAGATGTGTGTGTATTTTTTCATTGTTCATTTCATTCTTATTTCTCAATACAAATGGGGTGCTGCTTAAAGAAAACAGTAATTGTTATTTGCAATCTCAATCAATCTTCTAAGGCAGAGGTTGCTATACTCTTTCTGTAAAGGGCAAGATGGTAAATATCTTCAGCTTTGCAGTCCATAAGATCTTTATTGCAACTACTCAACTCTGTCATTGTAGCATGAAAGTAGCCATAAACAATATTTAAATGAATGATCATGACTCTATTCCAATAAAACTTTACTTACAAAATCAGGAGGAGGCCCAGGTTTGACTCTCAGGGCCATAGTTTGCTCTTTGTCATTCTAAGGAAATTCAACAGTGTGTGTTATACTTACTGAAGACTTGTTGTTTATCTGACTGTCCTGATAAACTATGACAGGATAAAATAAGGCTGAGAGCTGGAGATCGAGTAGAGCCAAAAATTAAACTATATATTCAAGTTGTAAGGGATATTTTTTTGGTCCAGGTTGGGAAGAATGCAGGCAGGATAGAAAAAGTTGAGTGGGCTGTGAGCTCTGTGAGAAAAACTTCAGAAGGAAAACCCACCACTATGGCATTGCCTAAGAAGGAAATTTAGGCACCAAAAATCCAAGGTGCCTTTTTAAAGTCATGTGATAATTTTGTGAAATTAGGGCTTGATATAAACTTTCTTCTTGTACTGTCATAAAGATCTGTAGTAGTCTTCATGGTTCACTCAAATTCTGTGAATAGATTATTTTCAAGGATTCTAAGGGTGTTGGACTCTAGGTATCCAGGTAGATGTCTAGCAGAAACTGGAAAAAGAGCTGAAAAATAAAATAATTTTTATTTGGATTTCTGTCATACTTTGCTGTGAGAGGTCTGGACAGGAGGCCTCCATGAGTGGGCAAAGGCTAATGTTCCTCAGAGACAATTAACCTGCTTTTAAAAGCACACACGAAAAGTCACACAGGCTTTATTCTTGTTACCACTATTCCTTCCAAGAGTGACCAATAAAATGCAGCCAAATAAAACTAAGTCATCTTTCTTAAATTTCCACAAGGACTCTCTGGGTGCCTATAAAACTTTATTTTTCTGCTTTATCCTTTCTCGATGGCCTCCCCATAAACTGAGATGTGTGTTAGTCAAATCCAGGCACACTTTACTCTTCTTTGTTTTACTTCAAAATCATGTTACCAAAATATCACACAATCTTGACTGGGTGTTAGCAAGAGAGATTACAGGAAGTTACGTTCTCTGAAATCAAGAGCTAATGGAAGACAATAGATATATTCAAAGAAAACTGTACGTATAATTTCTTTACTCCATACTGTAAACAAAAATGACTTAGAAGAATCAAAAACCTTCATAACACTAGAATAAGTAGTTTTAATAATAACAATAGGTAATTTTAATGTTTGACATTCTGTTTTTTATAGATCAGCCACATGAGTAGTCAGTTGGACTTATTTGAACCTATTTCTCTGGCTCTAATTCAAAATGAGTAAAAAAATGCAAGTTCAAATTCTGACACCTATAGGCCAGGAGACTAAAAACTGAACTATGGAAAGTTAAGGTACAGCCATCATGGGAGATATCTTAAGGCCAGTTGCCCTTCATGTATCTCATTGCTCATCTCTTTTAATACCAAAGTAGATAATATTTTAACTTCTAATTTTCAACTTATCGTCCTTACATAAAACATTGTTATAAGAGTGAAAACTTCAAGACCTTTTTCCCTCCTGTCTTTGGTCATATAATTTAACTTCAGGAATCTTTTAAAACCCTAATCTATTAAAACTATAACCTTCAGAGTCTGTTAATCTGCTCCCTCCACCTACTGGAAGCTGTAATTCTCTTCCATTTCTATGTGCCATTGGAACCACTTCTATAACCTTTTCCTAAGATTCCAAAGACTTTCAATAGCTATCTACAGAAGGAAACTTTACTGTGGTACATCAAATGATAAATGGATCAAAATTCTTAAACCCTCCTGTATCCAGGCCTTTTGTAATGTGACTTATCAAAAAGGGAGAATAGGCTTCTCCATCCTTTGAATTTAGTCTGGTCTTTTGTTTTGCTTTGGCCAATGGGATAGGAGCAAACCTGATGCAATGAGAGGCATAAAAAAAGTGTATGTATATTTCTACTGCTTATCCAGGGCAACCAGCCGTCATCATGAGAACATCTCCAGGCAACTCTGCTGGCAAGATATGAGAGACACATGGAGGAGACAGAGTTGCTTGTGAGAACACTTTCCTAGACTAGACAGCCCCCAGCGAAACCGCTAGCATCAGCAGATAAGATCAAATAAGATAAAATCAGTAGAGTCTATTCCAGATGAGCAGAATTACACAAAAAACCCATAAACTCAGGAAAGGAATAAATTGGGGCTTATATATTACCTGGAAATACTGAATAAAACTTTATAACCCAATGGTTACAGGATATACCTCACATTTTCTAAAGACTAACTCTTTTGAGTTAAAAAGGAGGCAAACATCTTTATCATCTGTTCTGCCTTTGTCATGTGTCAAATTTTATTCATAAGACCTGTTTTTTTTATTTCAAATGGATGATTTTGGGGTATGCGAAGTGATAAACACAGGACACTTGTTAGCATTAAATTTGCTTTCTTTTGTCTTAGTGCTATAACGTTCATATGTAAAGACATCCAGACAAATGATATTTTGTTCTACTACCACTAGTATAACAATTAATACTTGACTTAAGAAGAAGACAGTAGGAAGAATATGTTAAAATAGCGCAGAAATAGCGTCCCCCCAACAATGTCTTCCAACTCTCTCATCCTTTGCTAAGTAAGAGTCGTCAGCAGCCCCCAGACTTCTACTCTTCCTCTTCATCCCTAATACTTCTCAGCATGGATCTATCTAACAGCCCTAATCAAAGCAACTCCCAAAAACACCCCGCCCTTTGGTTTGCGTTTTGTGCTGCATGTCCAGTAAAAGAAAGCATGTATCTGCAATATTTTGCTCTAATACATACTAAACATTTTCAAAACACTTAGACTCCCTGTGCATTCCTAATAAAAAGGAGATTACACATTTTACCTCTGGAGAAACATAATTAAATCACTCCTCCAATTCTTGATTTCCCTAATCTGTCTACAGGCGTATCTTATTGACACTAGTCATGTCACTCTGCTGGGTTGAAGTGAGAAGAAAATGAAAAATACTTTAAGAAGTGCTTTTAAACTCTAAAAGTTTATACAAATGCTGAAACAACCGCTATAACAATGTCAAAATCTCCCTGAAAATCTCTGTAATATTGTACTGTAAATTCTAAGTTAATTAGAGATTATGGTTGTAATAGTTTGAAATAGGTTAAGCCAGGAAGTTATGGAGTTTTTATTGATATTGTGAATAAATTTATGAAAATAAATGAGTAGAGATTCAGTCTGGTAAATTCAGTTAATCTGACTTAACTCGAGTTTCAGTTTCCTTACCCATAACTGTGAGATCAGAAGGGGTCATCTAAAGAATAGAAAAAGACTAGAAGACTGGAAAGCACTTGACAAATGTCAAGTAAATACAATAAAATCACCACCACAGACATAGAAACTATTAGGAACGCAGTCTAGCATGGAACCAGGAGTCAAAGTTTTAAGAATTTATATTGAGTTCTGTCCCCGGGTTACCTTACAACCTGAAAAAAGAATAATTTTCCATCCTCTTCATGTGTCATTATATCCTTTTGCCAAGGTAATGCATCACAGAACACACGGAAACCTTAATATCACTGAAATTCCTTAGAAGAATGACAGACGGTAGGACAGTAGAATATGGTGATCTAAAATGCTATCATTTAAAAACTTAGTACAAGAAAGAGAATAAAAGTAAACCAAAACTTTTGAATGCTTGGCAAGTTCTAAAACTGTTTACAAAATGGTCCAGGATGTATTTAATGAATGGAATTTGCTCCTGTTTTTATTAGTATTTATTGATTGTCCATTCTGTGCAAAGAAATGTGCATGAAAGTTTGCTTCAGCAGCATCTATCCTAAAAAAAAAAATTGGAATGATACAAAGAAGATTAGCATGGCCCCTGAACAAGGATGACACACAAATTCGTGAACCATTCCATATTTAACAAAAAGAAGAATATCGGCAACAGATGTTAGCTCAGGGCCAATCTTCCCCACAAAAAAAAAAAAAAGGAAGAAAGAAATGTGCATGAGATATTTACTTTATAAAATAAAGTTTCAGTACTATAATCAAGCAAAAATAAAAATATTTCAATGAGGGGATTGAAGGAAGATGGTCAACATGTACAAACTTCCAGTTATAAGACAAATAAGATCTAGAGATGTAAATTACAGCATGATGAATCTCATTAACGCTGCTGCCTGATGTATAGGAAAGTTAAGAGAGTAGATCCTAAGGCTTCTCATCATCAGAAGAATTTTTTTCGTTTCTTTTTATTATATCTATATGGGATGATGGATGCTGACTAAACCTATTGTGGCAACCATTTCACAATATGTGTAAATCAAACCATCATGCTGTCCACCTTACACTTACATGGTGATGAATGTCAATTATTTCTCAATAAAACTGTAAAAAAAGTCTTTCATTGAGATACATATGTGTGGACATGGAATTTTATTTATTGTGTTCAGATATGTAAAGGGGAATAAAATATTCTTTCTCTTTCCTGATAATTCAGGACTATCTCTGAAAGAAATGCAGAAGAAAAGAAAAGAAAAACAAATTGCCAGATATAAAAAAAAAGAATCATTTGAGGTAAGCCAATCACGGCAAAACTCATGGTTTCTTCAAAGCTTTCTTCTTCTTAATTTCTAGACTTTTATACGCATTGGGGAAATGCTTTTAAGGTATTCAGATAACATGAAAAAGTAGGGCAGCTGAGTGAAATAACAAGGTATCTGTTCCAATTGAACCCATGTTCTTTGTTTTCTTTTCCACTAAAATTTCAATACTCAATCTTAAATACCAACGTTTGAGTTCTGTAGGTCTGCTTTTTAATTTTTTAGAGTACTCATTAGTCTTTAAGATATTAAGAAGAGTGTTGTGTATTTTCCAGCTTACTCTTTTGAGTTCTTCAGTTTCAGTTGGAAAGCTGACACGCTCAACACTGGTGTCAATTACCTCTTGCAGTAGTCGCACATGAGCATTCAGTGAGTCTGACTTTCTCAAAAATGATCAACTGGCATGTCTAATTCTATTACTTTTTACCATTTATTCAGTTTAAAAAGCTTCCTTGGATTGTCACAGTTTATTTCTAGTCACTACCAGCTGCAAAAACATTTGCTTCTTATGATAATCATGACATGAACTGCTACAGAGATGTGAAATGATGTTGTTTCCTTCTCATTCTGATATCCCATCAACAATTTACAATTTTGAAGCAGCATTAGCACAATATAGTAAGAAACAGCTGCTTAATTTACCTTAATTGTCAGGCAATATCTCATTTTATCTGCATAGCAAGTTCAGCAGATTCTTGAGAGCATATGTTTATTGTATTTCTAGTGCTCATAGCAAACCACACTCTGTGTTTTAGTCTCGCACAACAAAAGTTCCAAAGAAACATCCTTTTCAAGTGAAAACCGCAACCACAGGCTTTCCCCAGCATAGGCTTTTGTCATTCCTTAGATCACACTGTGACAGATGCCTCAGATACAAGCAAGTGGAAACCAGAGACAATCCAGTGGACCCTGCAACACTACTGCTTCCAACGTAGGATCAAGACTTAAACAGCAAGAGAGAAAGCTAACCCGATTGCATTTGTTTCTGTGAATGTGTGTCTGTGACTCTGAGACTCTGTTCTTAGTGAAATGGTGAATTTATTGAACTTCAAAATCCTCTGAAATGACTGACACGTTGAAAAATGTAACAAAGAAAACGCTACAATACATTTCAAAAGCATCATTTTTCTTCCCACCAGATGACATATTTTGTGATGTGAAAGATGGAGAAGATTCATATGGTGGGGTTTCCGGAATGGTCGTGATGCATAATTATTTCAATTAATGTATGATTAAATTTGGTGTAATAACTTTTTATTTAATATATTTTTACCTGTGTTCATCAGTAACAATGTTATATAATTTTCTTTCTTCCTATTGTCCTTGTCAGGTTTGGTACCAGCATCATAAAGTGAATGACATACTAATGGTCCCTCTTTATTGTCTCTGGAAGAATTGCATAAGATTAGAATTATCTGTCCCATGAATAACCCACAAAACACCTGGGATTTTTTGGTGTGCAAATCTTTAAATATCTTTTAAATTAGTTTGATGGCTTCAGGACTGATAATTTTTAATTTGTGCTTAAGTTAGATTTGGTAAGTAATTATTTTTCAAAGAATTTATTCATGTTGTCTAGTTTTCACATATGGCCTAAATTTGTTCATCTCATTGACAGCTTCTATAGTTACGTCATCTTTTTCTTTACATTAGTACTTTGTGTCTGTTTCACTTTTTTTAAGTGTGTGTCAGGAAGATTGCTCACGAGCTACCATCCGTGCTAGTCTTCCTCTACGTTGTATGTCATCAGCATGGCTTGATGACAAGTGCTAGGGCCGTGCCCGGGATCTGAACCTGTGAACACTGGGCCGCCAAAGCAGAGCATGTGAACTTCACCACCACAGCACCAGGCCGGCCCCACTATTTAGCTTTCTAACTTGATCAAATATGCTTTGTTTGTATGTTATATTAATCTTTTCAATTAGTGAATTGATTTTGTTGATCTATCCTATATATATTTTACTATTACATAATATGCGTTTCAATTTTACTATATTATTTTCTTCAATATTATTTCTGTTATTCTATTGTTCATTTTTAGGATTCTAAAATTCTACGTTTGGCTCATTAATTTTCAGTTTTTTCCCTTTGGCAATATGTGCATTCAAGGCTATACATTTCCTTCTAATGCCATTTTACCTGCATTAAGCAAGTTTAGACAAGTGATATTTTTATTGTCATTTAGTTCTAGGCTTTTTTTTTTTTAACCTATAAGTTATTAAAAGTATTTTTTACCAAAGTACGGAGATTTGCATGTTAAGTTCTTTTTTTGTATTTGCATTGTGATTGCTGCATGTACTTTGTATAATATGTGTTATTTGATATTTGTTGTAAATGCTTTACAGTCTGTTACATGCTAAGTTTTAAAATGTTTGTGTGTATCAACTCCAGTTGTTAAGGCTCGCTATATGATAAATGTCCAGTAGGTCAAACTCTTTAAGTCTTTCAGCATCTATAGTATATCTTGATTGCATTATGTATTAATTAAATATTTATTACATATCTAATTTTATAATTAAATAAATTAATTTTAATAGGAAATCTCCCACTAAGAGGGCAGATAGGTCAATTTTGTCTTATAAAGCTGCCAGTTTTTACATACAATTTTAGGCTATTAGCTTTAGAATTACCTAGCTTATGAATTAGTTATTTTATAAATGAAATAAAAGATTTTTATTTCAAAGTCTTAAAGTTTGGTTCATCTAATATTAATGTGGTTACATTAACTATTCTTTGCTATATTTTTGCCAGATTATAAATGGTTGTGTGTATAAATATAGATATAAAAATATTGATTCTTTCATCTTAATTTTCTATGTTTTTGCTTTTTATGCAGCTTACCAGAAAATAGCATTTACTTAGATTTCTTTTTTTGCTTCAGGAAGATTGGCCTTGAGCTAACATCTGTTGCCAATCTTCCTCTTTTTTTTTCTCCCCAAAGCCCCAGTGCATAGTTGTAGATCCTAGCTGTAAGTCCTTCTAGTTCTTCTGTGCCACAGCATGGCTTGATGAGTGGTATGTATGTCCAGATCCAAACCACCAAACCTCCAGGCCGCTGAAGCAGAGCAGGAGAACTTAACCACTTGGCCATTTTATTTATTTGAGCCTTCTCTCTTTTTTTCTTAGTGAGTATAGCAAAAGGTTTGTCAATTTTGTTTATCTTCTCAAAGAACCAGCTCTTAGTTTCATTGATCCTTTATACTGTTTTGTTTGGTTTCCATTTTATTTATTTCTGCTCTAATTTTTATTATTCCCCTTCTTCTGCTGACTTTGGGCTTTGTCTGTTCATTTGCTAGTTCTGTTAGGTATAGCTTAAGATTGCTTATTTAAAATTTTTTATGTTTCTTAAGGCGGGCCTGTATTGCTATGAATTTCCCTCTTAGGACTGCTTTTGCTGCATCACATATGAGTTGGTATGGGTTGGTATGGTGTATTTTCATTTTCATTCGTCTCTAGATATTTTTTGATTCCTCCTTTAATTTCTTCATAGATCCATTGGTTGCTTCGTAGCATCATTTTTAGTCTCCACATATTTGTCAATTTCCCAGCTTTTTTTCTTGTACTTGATTTCTAGTTTCATAGCATTATGCTCAGAAAAGATGCTTGAAATGATTTCAATCTTCTTAAGTTTATTAAGGCTTGCCTTGTTTCCCAATATATGGTCTATCTTTGAGAATGTTCCATGTGCACTCAAGAAGAATGTGTATTCTGCTGTTTTTGGATGAAATGTTGTATATATATATTTGTTAAGTCCATCTGGTCTAGTATTTTGTCTAATTCCATTATTTCCTTGTTGATTTTCTGTGTGGATTATCTATCCATTGATGTAAATGGGGTGTTGAGGTCCCCTACCCTTATTGTTTTGCTGTTAATTTCTCCTTTTAGGTCTGTTAATAGTTGCTTTATGTACTTTGGTGCTCCTGTGTTAGGTGCATATGCATTAAATGTTATGTCCTCTTGGTGAATTGTCCCTTTTCTCATTTTATATTGCCCCTCTGTCTCTCATTGCTTTTTTATCTTGAAGTCGACTTTGTCTGATATAAGTATGGCAACACCTGGTTTCTTTTGTTTGCCATTAGCTTGGAGCATCATCTTCCTCCCTTCACTCTGAGCTGTGTTTGTCTTTAGAACTTAAATGTGTTTCCTGGATGCAGCATATTGTTGGGTCTTGTTTTTTAATCCATCCAGCCACTCTGTGTCTTTTGATTGGAGAATTCAATCCATTAACATTGAGAGTCATTATTGATAAACGAAGGCTTACTACTACCGCTTTATCACTTGTTTTCCAGTTGTTCTGTATTTCCCTTGTTTCTTGTCCTAA